ATTCTTAGACTACTAAATCCTAGCTTTTGTAGAATATTAGTTAAGAATAGCTGCCATTGTCTACTAGCTTGTTTCAAGCCATACAGAGCTTTGTTTAACTTGCATACTATAGTAGAGTAGTTCTTATCTTCTATAGCAGTACAAATAGAGTTTAGAAGATCTTTATCTGTAGTATCTTCTTTAGCTCGTTGTAGTATGTACTTTTCTAGGCCTATAGGCAGTTGCGTATAGATGTTATCTATATCTATAACGTGTTTCACAAGCGAGCGCCGCACCCAACCGAGCGCCGCACTTTCAACAACAGAACGCCTGCTCAGCGCTATATCACAACACAACACGAATAAATAATTGTTTGCAGGCCTAGATAGTATTATTTAGAAGCTTTACTATTATCTACGTCCTCTATTTCCACCTTGCAAGTGTAGGAATTATGTCTAATCTCACTGCAACGCCCACAGCGTTGTCTAACACACACCCTCTTTGCAGGTGTCTTGCCCTTACTATAAACCCTACCCTCCTTTTTAGTAATTAAGTTAGCTACTTTACTAACTATAAGGGTCTCCTCTGCGTGTATATATTATTGCTTATAGGTCTTGCGCTTTGTAGATGCTTCTACAGCGTCTTAAAGGTGGCCTATTTCCTCCTGCATTAACACTATATTATAAGCTATCTGCTGAGCGCCCTTTGCTGACTATTTAACCTACTTATCTAACAAACTTGCTAGAGACCCTTAATAGATTTAAATCTACTTTTAAATTAGAGTTAACTGCTCCTCTACTTTGTAAGCAGTGCGTGGTGTCTTTGGCTCCCAGGCGACGTTGCTGGGTTTTGGTGGTGTTGGCGTGCGCAGGCGCACATTAAGCTTTAATAACACCACCTCTAGGTTGTGTGGGACTAGCCTAGCACCTCTAAAGCCTGCGCGAACATTCTCTCTAGTAAACGCCTTACTAAACGCTGATTTAAAGGCTGGCAGGAAGGTTTCCTTGTTAATATGGTGGATGCGACTGCGTGCTAAGGCTGAAACCTCGTCGCTATACAGGCGCTTTAGTGGCGAGAAGCAGGCGACGTCAAGTGGCTGCAACAGGTGCGACGAGTGCGGGGGCATACAGAGAGTGATTATCTTCTTCTCTCTGCAGAGATCTTGGAAGGCCACTGAGCAGTGGCTCTCATGGCCATTAATAATAAGTAGCTGGTAGACCCTAACTAGCTTCGCATGCGTATTAAAGTGGTGGAGCCAGGCAAGCGCTAGATTATTGTTAGTCTAGCTAGTAGGACTAACATTAATAACCTAGTCCTGTAGGAGGTCCTTAGTAAACTAGTTAGAGATAAGAACCTTGCCTGCAAGGATAAGGAATAGTAGGATAACCTTCCCTGTTGACCTAACACCTTATACTAGGGTAACCTACTTACAATTACTAGGTTAGATCTTCTTCTACTTCCCAGGCTTCTCTAAGCCTGTTACTACTAGCTACAACAATATCTTGCCTATTAGGAAGCTAGACTTATTAAAGTTGTACACATCCTTGTCTATAATACTATACTTCGCCTTTATAGACTGATCAAGCGTGAACCAGGGCTGGATAACTGCTGGGTCCTCGCAGGCAGCCCGCTGGCGATCGTATGGGCGGGTCCACCGCTTCTGGAGCTCTGGTGTACGCTTTACCAAGTTGTCAACCTAGTTCTTGCCAACAGGCTTTGCGCCGCGCTCTCTTAGCAGTTTATCTGCCATATCTTGTACGTCTGCCTTTAAGGAGGGTAGGCCACGCGCAGATTCCTCAAGTATACGTAGTACAACTGCCTCCTCTTCTAGCTTTGTAAGGCGCTTCGCATTCAGCTTGCAGTCGCGTTAAGAGCGTGTTCTGTCGCGTTGGCGTTAGATTATTTGTTTAGGCACTTTGTAGACTTTCTTAGCGCGTTAGATACTTTGAATTTAGTTTCTTAAGATATTAGATATAGCAAGCTGTACATCAGCTTCAGTATAGAGTGTAGGAGCTTGTTGTGGTTGAGACATTACGCGCTGTTGTTGCGCCGGCGTTCTGGCAGCGAGAGTGCGGCGCTCGGTTGGGTGCGGCGCTCGCTTGTGAAACACGTTATCTGCATTAGGGAACGCTTGCTTTACATCCCATGTATAGATTTCCCAATCTAAATAGGCAAATATAGATAGAAGTAGCCTAATTAAGCTAGGCTTGCTAGTAGATGCAAAGGTTTCTTTATAGTTTATACTATACTTTTGTAGAAAGCCTTTAGCAACCTACCTAGCCTTGTACTTCTTAATAGTATTGTCTAAGTTATATTTCTTAGTAAGAACCTACCTGCCTTTTATAACAGAGGCAGTCTTTAGTCTCTTAATAATAGACCAGGTATTACTTTTAATTAGATCCTCTACCTCTACTTGCATAGCTTTTAGGTAGAGGTCTTTATCACTTCTAAGTAACACCTCCTTTAGGCTTCTAGGTTCTTCTAAGTTATTGCTATTAGAAGTAGCAAGTATATTCTCTAATATTGCTTTGTTATAACGTAGATTATCACCGAGCCGGCCATATCACTAAACCAGCCATTTTCTCTTAGCACGACTAACACAAGTTACTACAACTACAACTACTTACTATTAAACAGTGACCTAGCATACTGTGTGCTTACATTAGATTTAGAAGATGTTTCTGTACCCTCCTAGCACGTTCATGTGTTGTGTCTAGTTTTGCTGCAGTTCCTACAGCGCTAAACAGTTGACTGAGCTCCTAGTTGACCACCTCTACCCTAAGTCTTCTTAGATAGCTGAGCTGCTACACACGCCTCAGCAGCTACCCGCGATGCTGCTGGGCCATACTCAAGTGTGCCACCATGCTGAATCTGCTTTCTCTTACGCGATTTTCTCTTAGTTATTACTGCTAATTGCTCTTCAAGCTCTCGCACGTGGGCCTTGATAAGGACGTTTTCGTGCAGCATCTCTTCAGCCCCTTTTACAAGCTTTGAGAACCCCTCTTACGCTGCACTTAGCGATTGTTGGAAGGAGTCGCTTACAAGCTTGGATTGAGACCCAAACTTGTGTGTATTGCTTAGCGTCTTGGATTGCCACAGCGTTTCAGGTAGAGGTACTGCTAGTGGGGTATGCAGCCGCACTTCAAGGCGATCTAACACCACCTGCACGTTAGTAGGAACAAGCCCTAATGCCTTAAAGGCCTTTTAGCAGTTAACCTTTGTAAACACATTAAGGAACGCGTCCCTAAAGGCTAGTAGGAAGCCTTCCTTGTTAATATAGAAGACGCGTTAGCGTGCTAAGTCTTAAACGTGTTAGGAGTACTTGCGCTTTAATAGCAAGAAACAGACCACGTTAAGTAGCTAGAGGATGTGCGATAAGTGAGGTAGCATGCAGAGAGTAAGGATTTAGTTCTCTAGGCAATAGTCCTTAAACTCCTAGTTAAGATAGCTCTTATAGCCATCCAAGATAAGCAGCCTATATACTCCCACCTAACGCGTCTTTGTATGCGTGTTAAAGTGCTTTAACTACTTAAGGCTAAGTGCGTTGTTTGTCTAACTATTCTTAGAGACTAAGAGCTTCTAATTGTGGGGTATATCTGTCTCCTTATACTAGGCAGAGATATGGACGCGTCCTTTGTAGATGATAAAAGGCGGGGTTGCATACCCAGCGGCGCAGATGCTCTGGATAACGGTAACCCACTCGCGATCACCTGGCTGAACAAGCTCTGGCTGAGCACGTCTCTCTAAGCCTGTTACAACCTTTAAAGACAAAGTAACGCCTATCTAGAACCTAGTTTTATTAAAGTTGTGCACGTTGTTGTTGCAAACGCTATACTTGACTTAAGTATCCTCTACTAGCTTAAACTACGCGCTAATTATCTTAGGATCTTCCTGTAGTATCCTCTGTCTATCCTTGGCTTAATTGAAGGCCATTTTGAGCTCGTCTGAACGCGCGTCACAAGCCTGCTAGCCCATAGTTTGCTAACAGGCTCTTCACCACGCACACTAAGTATCTTATCAGCCATATCTGCCACCTCACATAGCTAGGGCGCAAATCCTTGCGAATTAAGGTTAAGTATATACTAGATAATTGTCTGCTCCTCTAGTATAGTAAGTTTCTAGCAATTAGCGCATACGTCTAGTTAAAACGTGATATTGCAAAGGCAATTAGAGACCCACTAATAAGGTACGTTCAACGCTCTAGCAGCGCTGCGGATACTGCGAAATTGGCCAGCATAGAAGGCCTAGATAGCAAGGATAACTCTGCCTTCTCTAGTAGTATTCTGAAGTTGTTGTTGTTGAGGCATGTTGTGTTGGGGTAAAAGGTGGTCATGCCAAGAGAAAGTGGCCGGTTCGGTGATATGGCCGGCTCGGTGATAATCTACGTTATAGAGATTTCCAGTCTTGCTTGCTATTAGCTCCATTTATAGCACTTGTAGCAATACTATATTGACTAGTGTCTTCTTCAATAATAGAAGTGTGGACAGCTAGTTCATCTTCAGAACTATCCTCTAGCTCTTTTGCTCTAGGCAAGTTTTCTATTGCACTAGAAGTAGGAGGTTTCTTTTTAATAACAACCTTAGGATTTCTTCCTATAATTCTATACAAAGAGCTACTAGATCTATTAGGCTGTAGTCTAGTAAATACTCTCTGAATATTGTTGTTGTTATTAGGCTTAACGTACTCCACAAGCGAGCTGGCCACCCAAGCGAGCTGGCCACTTTTGCCAAGACCACACCGAACTTCACTCTCCCTGTAATGCCTCAACGCAACAACGTAAAAAAGCCTTCAAATGAAACACATATACAGCTTGCCCTCCAGGCTATCCAGCAAGACGCGACACTAAGCGTGCGACGCGCTGCAGCAATATACCAGGTCTCTCGAAGCACCCTAGGCACGCGCCTTACTAGAACCTCTTCACGACGCGATTGCAAGCCCAACATGATAAGGATGACTAGTACTGAGGAGGAGGTGATTGTCCAGCATGTATTGAAGCTAGACGAGCGAGGATACCCACCCCGGCTTGCTG